ATCATCAGTATTTACTACTGGTGGTTTTCTTTTTTTCAACTATCACTTCTTCGGTTTTTTTGGGGCTAATTGCCCATTTGTTTGAGCATGTTATTTTAGATGTCATATTATTTATGGGTTCATCTTCATCTTGTGCTTTCTTTACTCATGCTCTCATGCTAAATAAGATTACATGTACTAGAGTTTATGGTGCAGAAGTCCGTCTCTTTGCCGTGACAAACAGAGGACTTGTGTTTGATTTCTGAATAGGAAGGATTAAAAAAACAACAACAAATCTTGTACATATTATTATATCCCTGTCTGCCTGCTGGGGTGCTGTATCATTCTCTGCCCTGGTCAGACGCGCGTCTGGATCAAAGCAGCCTTTTCCACAAATGATCAAAGTCGAGTACCGCACACGAGTTTGATTCCCAAATGGGGAGAGTTTTCATCTCGTATTTCGGTCTTTCTTCTAGGACATCGCATCCCTCTCAAATCGAGTCTGCCCTGGCACACAGGGACAAAGCTCGCCTCCGTAATAATTTAAACTGGGTTGATTTGGGGATGGGGGTGGGGGTGGTACCCAAAACGCCAACAGAAAAAGCAACAATTTTAGTCCAAGTTGGTAGGGTTAATCATGCTTAATCAAATGGAAATTGTTAGTACTGTACAGTCCCCTAGCGTTACCCACTGGGGGGCTGTGCAGTCCCCTAGCTTTGCTTCGTACTCTGGGGGTTTGCAAAGAAAGTCTTAGATCTACTAGATCTAGATTCTAAAACTAAAAACTAAACTACCATGTAGTGTAGTCTACGGTCTATATCATAAGTACTGTAGCTCTAGAATCTAGATCTTGATAGATCCTAGATCAACAAACCTGTTGACATAAATAATAAATTCGACTTAAATAAAGAGTTTGGCTCTAGGTCTAGATTCTCCCACCATACTAATTAACTTAACTAGATCTAAAAAAAGGTCGCTCAGCCTCAGCTGCCCACACATAAGAGGGAATTATCGCGAAGCCCTCTATTTGATTGCTTTGAACTTTTTCCATATAGTGTCAGATTTTACTGGACGTTACAGATTCTAAATTTTGTGGTTGAGAAACCTTTACAAGTTAGGTTCCGACCGGTTTCCTTTGATGTTGGCCGAAACTATGTCAGATTTATAATAGAAGTTTTACAATGGAAGTTATATACGATGACACGGAGAAAATGTTTGGTTTTCGTTGCAACACACCAACTTTTACAAAGCAGGGGCGGAACTCGTAGGAAATGTATCAATGACCAGAAAGTCACCATGATCAAGGTGAACGAGTCCAGGCTGAAGAGACAAACAAAACGTAAAAAACTTTCCAAGGGCATAAAAATAACCTTTTGGTTACAATGGACAGCTAACACTTTTAAGTTTGAAAAAGATAAAAACTCACTAGAAAAGGAGAGGAGTCATTGATCGTCCTCAGAATCGGACCCAAAGGAATAGATAACTATCTTTTGTTGAATAAATCCAAGCCCGTCAGTTTACCAATATTATTGTTCTCTTCTGCCATGGCGTGTTCAACACATTTCTTCCAGTAGTGTCTGTCTACGTCAAATATAGCATTCGTCGTCAATGTCTTGATGTCTGCGATTTTGAAAGTCATATTTTTGTCAGCGACATCGTGTTTAATCCTTGCCCAAACCAACTCAACAGGGTTTAAATGGGAATGGTGCGGTGGAAGTCTCAGGCTCGTGTGTCCATGAAAAGCTATAACTTTATCACTAGCATAGATCTTGGGTCGATTTAGACTTTTGACTATTTGCAAAAGTTCTGGTTTTAAAGCGTGCTCTGGAAACTCGATGCTGTTGGTACAAAGCCATTCTATTATGTTGTCTTTTCTTCATGCAGAAGTTCTTGTTTTATTTTCCTGCGCAACGCAATTATAATACGTTGCATTGTCCATCACAATACACGTAGGCCAGTCGAGAGCTGGCAATAGCTGATGTTTCACCAAATCTTCGAATATGTCCGCGTTCATTTCAGAGTGATAGTCTCTGCTGTCTGTTGACTTCGATTGGAAAATAAGAACGGCATCGGAAACAAAACCAACAATGCTGCTCCCAGCAAGAGCGATGATCAATCGCTGACCCTTGCTGGAAGGGACGTGCCAACCCATAGTAGCGTCTATCGACTGCCACTCTTGCTCTTTAGCATGGTGAGCGTGAACCCAGGTTTCATCAATGTAAACTATGTCGAAACCCTCTTTTCTCTGACTTGTCGTAGATATCTGCTCCTCGAGGCAACGAGATCCGATCGCTAGCATAGGATGCCTTTTGTGTCCTAGTCTTTTTTCTGAACGTGAACCCTGCACTTTTCACAATTTTCCATAACGTTGTTTTGTTCAAAGAAATTTGCATTTCTTCTTCAACATATTATTATTTCTTCAACTTTCGGAGGGTCACTAGTTCTCGTTTTTCAAACATTCTGACTATAAGACGTTTTATCACATCAAGGTCAAAATCATTAATTATCCCTGGCCTATCAACAACGGGTCTTTGGGGTTCATTTGCAGACTTTACACTGCTTTGAAGAAGGCGATTTATTGTTCGCGGCGATAAAAGTTTCTTAAAATCACGAAGAACTCGTTTTTTTAAATTTGCAATGGAACAGTATGTATTTCCGCCATTGGCTTCGGCACAAAAGTGTTGCGCAACAGTCTGTGCGGTGAAATATTTACACTTAAGGGGCTTTGTAAATTTCGAGTCACAACTCAAAAAAAGTCTCGTCTGCCCTGAGTTATGTACGAATTGATCCTTTTCTGATTTTAGGCAACACAAGACGCAGCGCTCAACTCCTCAATACTCTCCGCTGTCCGTATGATTTCCGTCGGCGAAATTCACTCGTCGTCTCACCCAGGCCCCACTTGTATGTTTCGACAGAGTACACGCCTTTAGATTATTATGACAGTGCGTTTTCAAGAGATTTGTGAGTGAACAATAACACTGGACTTGTCTGTGTCGAAAAAGTGGCAAAAAATGACCAGCATGTCTGCGTGCTGTAAATACGTGATTTTTTGTTTCCACTGGGGCTTGAGCAAAGCCCAAATAAGCTATCTTTTGCGATAAACAAACTTCGCTTTTAGAAAAAGTTTTCGTAACGTCCATGTCATTTCACTTTATTTTGCAAAATTTCAAATCGAAATATTGAGAACTGAGTGAACAGGATTTTTCTAACCGTGGGCAACTGTGGCTTTACGACCTTTAGATGTGAATCAGATCTACAACTACAAAGTAAGAACTATTAAAATATTGTACTCTACGTCAATTCTACTGGATCAACTAACCTTTCGACATTCACTTTTCTCACAAAAAAAAAAAAAAGAAACAGTGGGTGGCTCTATCATACTCATAAACTTTTTCAAACATCTATCGTAACTGCCAAAAACTTGGCCAACAGTCAAATCAGACGTCATGTTGTCAATTTGTCATGGGAGGAAATTACAATTTTGTTGATGTCTGATGATGGCTTGTTGACCTCGATCCCCAGGTCAAAGGTTGTTTCTTTGCGGTCCCCCTGTGCGCAAAGCAGCGCTTGGTGACTGCACAGTCCCCGAGTAAAGCTACCCCAGTGGGTAGCGCTTCACAGTCCCCTAACAACTTTAATCTGAGTTACCTCGGTTTCACCGAAACCACGCGCTCGAAAAGCCGCGAGTCAGCTTACGTGCCGTGTTTATATTTCCAAATTATACGTTTGCGATAGCACTATAAACACACGAGCGGACACACCCATACACACGCACACATTCACACACAAATACACACTGACACATACACACATACACACACACATACACACACACACACACACACACACACACACACACACACACACAGACCATCTCGGTGGCCTCCCTCTTGGAAAGAAGTCCACCTTGGCAGATCTAGAGGAACCCCCCCCCCCCCCACTAAAACACAATAAAAACGGCCATCAGAACTTTCATCAGCTAAGGGTAGATTAAGCTACATATACGGCACTGTTTCAGGAAAGGCAAAGCGACACAATATATCGAGATGTAGATCTAGAATCTAGGCCCAGATCTAGTGGACCGGCATATAATGTCTGGAGAAAACTAAAAATTTGCGGAAAATTGGAAGCACTAAACATTAGAGAACGTAGATCTATCTAGATCTAGATTTATATCTAGATCTAGACACGTCCCTAGCTAGGTCTAACAATAACATGGCCTATTTTTAACTCTCCCGAGAACGAAATAATGATCTAGATCTAGGCAGTCAGTGACTGACAAAAACAAGCTCATTTGCATGTGAGCTTGGTCTGCAAGTGACGAAAAAGAGCAGTGGACGCCAGGGCCGCGTTACCTGTAAGGCTGTTCAGGCTGTAGCCCAGGGCCCCGCGCCTCAGGGGGCCCCGCGCTTTCAAACACGACGTTTAAAAAAAGTTTTTCAACAACAACAAAATTGTCCTCTTGTTGAATTGTTGTTGTTGTTTGTATTGCTGTTGTAAACTGAATGTAATTAACCAAGCCACTGTTCAAAACTTAGATGCTTTGGATTTCAAGACATAAAGTGTGAATACAAAGATTATTCTCGGTATCTCCGAAGATCCCATTTTTATAGACAGCTTGTAAACGGAGAAAACGTAAGAAGAGACTGGATTTATTATTCAGAGTCAACGGGGAAAGTATTTTGTCAGTGTTGTAAATTCTTCAGCACCACCGGTGAGACTGCTTTCACTTCAGGATTCAACGACTGGAAGAACGTTATATAGAGCGATTGTCCTTGCCTGAAAACAGTGATACTCATCGCAAAGCTGCAAATGACTTCTATGTGTTAGGAAAACAAAGTAGGGTGTTAAACAAATCTTTCGTCTCACAATTGAAAATAGAGGTTGAATACTGGCGAAAGGTTTTGGGAAGAGTGGTGTCTGTTGTGAAATTTTTGAGCGAAAGAGGACTCCCTCTACGTGGTTATGACGAACTATTTGGATCTGCACATAACGGTAACTTTCTTGGATTGTTAGAATTGATGGCTACGTTTGATCTATTTCTAGCAGATCATATTGCGCGGAATGGCAACAAAGGACGTAGGCACGCGTCATATTTATCATCTACTATTTTTGATGAGTTTGTAGAAGTGTTGACCGCCCAAGTAAGATCAGTCATCATTGAAGAGGTCAAAGAGGCAAAGTACTACAGCATGAGTGTCGATTCCACCCCAGACATAACCCACACCGATCAACTGACATTCATTCTTCGTTACATCAATAAAGCTGGTCTACCTGTAGAGAGATTTATAGCCTTCATCCCAATAGAAGCACACGATACAGAGTCTCTCACGTCAGAAATTTTGACAGCTTTGGACAAATTTGGAATGGAGCTTCGAAACTGCTGTGGTCAAAGCTACGATAATGCTAGTAACATGGCTGGATGCCTCAGTGGTGTACAGGCCCGTATCAAAGAGATGAATCCCAAGGCTTCCTTTGTCCCCTGCTCGGCTCATTCTCTAAATCTGGTTGGTGTTTGAGCAGCTGAATATTGCGTAGACGCAGCATCATTTTTCGGATTCGTCCAGGCATGGTACAACTTCCTTTCAAGCTCCACACATCGTTGGGGCTTGTTTGTAAAACGTATCGGTGGCCCTACACCCAAATCATTGTCAGGAGCTAGATGGTCTGCCCGACATGATGCAACAGTAGCATTAATATCCAACTACAAAAAGATTATATCATTACTTCTTGACATCTCTCGAGACGTGAAAGAATCTCCCCAAACGCGTGATGAGGCGTCATCCTTGCACAACAAGATGGAAAATTTTGATTTTGCTGCGCTGTGTGTGTTTTGGGAACAAGTTCTGGCACGTTTTAACACTGCCAACAAAACACTTCAGAAACCATCACTCAACCTGGGAGTCGTACACATGTTGTACGATTATCTAATTGCTTATTTAACAGGACTTCGGGACGATTTCGAGCGAATGGAACAATCAGCCACACCTTTCGTCGAAGAGCCTTCCTACCAATACAAACGCATTGCAAAACGCAAGCGCTTCCACGACGAAACAAAAGATGTTGAAGCTGTTTTGTCACACCGGGAACAGTTTAGAATAAACACCTTCCTTGTCATCGTTGACTGCCTTTTGTCTGAGCTTGAAAAGCGAGGACACATCTACAGGACTCTGGCTCAAGATTTTGACATTCTCTTTCATCTTCACAAGAAACCTGCCACAAGCATTTGAGACACGTCACAATTCTCGCATTCAGCAGCAATATTAGGACGACCTAGAGCTATCATTTCCTGACGAACTAGTGTCGTATTCAGGATATGTCAACTCAGCATTTCAGTCTGAGGATACACTTTCTCCTCCCCGGCTCCTTCAAGATCTGCACGAAAGTGGTGCAACAACAGCTTTCCCAAATGTAGAGATCCCACTGAGGCTCTTTCTCACCATACCTATCGCCAACGTAGAGGGTGACTGAAAGATCCTTCTCCGTACTGAAACGAGTGAAAAGTAGACTGCGTCCAACGATGGGACAAGACTCTTGACGACTGAATCTGAAACGACCAAATCTCTAGACTTTGAGGACATCATCGAGGCATTTGCCGAGCAAAAAGCCAGGAGTAAAATATAAGGTATGAGTTTTTATAATCTGTTGTGTATGTGTTTAAATGAAGTAATCCACCACGAAGTAAACAAGCACGGATAGGTTTCGGCTGCCTCATTCTTTGTAACAGAAATAGATCTATAAATGTGCTTATCGTCGTCTTAATCCACATTATTGGTGGATACCGGTAGGCCTACATCTAATCACGTTTTACAGTATAGCTTTCCATAAGTACGGGTTACAATGCGGTAGTAGTAGCATCAACGTCATCGAGGGGCCCCGCGGCTCAAGGACAGCCTAGGGCCCCGCATTTAGTTAACGCGGCCCTGGTGGACGCGGGGCCGAACTGAGCAGCTAGCAGGGCACACATAAACAGTCAGCTGTTTACGTTAACAAGCTTGAAGTGGGCTAGGAGTTACTGTTCTTACCCCGTTTAACCAATCAGAGCCCTCAGCCGTTCACCATGACGCTAAGTTGTTTATATTTCAACCACATAATTCTAAACTGTGATTTCAACCCGTCTTGCTCGAGAAGGGTAGTGTCTACGTTCTCTAACGGTAGAGAACGTATGCAAGTTGTCTACGTTCTCTAATGTTAGAAAGAACCACAAAATAGCTCGCTCGCTCTATCTAACATGAAAAAGTGTCGACATTGCTGCTTCCACAGCGCTTACACTTTATTTTCGCAAGCTATAAAGTTTACTTTCGCGAAATTGAAATGCTCGAGAAAGTAAAGCTGTCTACAGTACCGCATCTTGCCTTTACAGCGACGTTTAACCCCTAACAAGCAACCAACACCTTTATCATTCCATCGAAATGACACCCCCCCCCCCTTTTTTTCATTATAATTTGTTGTAGGCCTACACTTTTCACCCAAGGAAGGTGCACTCTAATGCCCCCCCCCCCTAAAACTTTGAACAAGTCACTGAAGATCAGGACGTCTGTAATTCCCACTTCAACGCCAAGGTAGGCCTATGTGATACAATGTGAGAGACCATAAATGATACCAAATTCACATGTGTGGAAAAACATTGCCGATTTGGTGTGTGATGTCACATTACTGTCATGAAATCAAATCACGTGGATCAAGGTCAAGTCAGTCATATCAACGCTAGGTCTACGATAGGCCTAGATATAGTGCATAAAATAACCCAATTCTATGAGTGGACTGGCGGACCTATTTGATGTAGATCTAACGACACAACATAATGTAGACCAATTTGAAAAAAAAAGAAAGATTGAAAAGTAGCCTAGCCTTATCCAGAAGTTCAAACAGGGCCCTACAGGCTTAATATTGTTACTTTTTTTTTATTCGTTAGAGAACGTAGACAGCTTGTATACATTCTTTAACGTTAGAGAACGTAGACACTTCCCTCGACAAGGGGTCTAAATCTAAAAATAGGGACGAATGAAGGGCGTTGAAGCATTGTGGCGCATGAGGTAATGGTTCTATAAATAATCTCACAGTTATACAACAGGTCAAATGCTCGAAAGGGTTTGAGGTCCAAATTCCTTTATCGTGTAACCCAAGCTCACAACAAAACCACACACACACACCTCCAAAATAAAACAAAATGAAATATTTATAGTAGATCATAGTTGTTTAATTTGATCTTAAATGAAGGAGAAGACATTAAACTTTAAATAGACCCAAAAAACAAAATTTCATGGAAAGTCACTTTTTAGCCTTTCGAGCCTCGTAGCTCCAAATAACACATTGCGTCTTTCGACTGATTATGACCGGGCCAGACATATTTATGACCTTATTGTGTTGCAAGGGCCGTAAAACTCTACTAAAACTGAAAGAGAAAATGCTGTGATTGAATGGCACAGGCAAGAGAGTCCACAAAGAACAAACCCATAATTTGTCTTCAAGCAAAGTCTAATTTCGTTTTATTTCATCCCTCCCCCCTCAAATATTATTGTAGACGCCTTTAGTTTACACCGATTCTTTCAGATTTCTCCAAAGAGTGCATCATCTGAAAGAAAAATAGAATCAAAATCATGTTTTAGTTTAAAAAATAGTGGCAGTTGATTGTGAGTTATGTATGTTTAAGGAGGCCCGTGCACATGAGTCTCTCTCTCTCTCTCTATCTCTCTCTCTCTCTCTCTCTCTCTCTCTCTCTCTCTCTCTCTCTCTCTCTCTCTCTTTCTCTCTCTCCCCCCCCTTCTCTCTCTCTCTCTCTCTCTCACACACACACACACACAATCACGCACCCGCACACGCACACACACAAACTCGCACACACTTCAATCTATCTATCTATCTATCTATCTATCTATCTATCTATCTATCTATCTATCTATCTATCTATCTATCTATCTATCTATCTATCTATCTATCTATCTATCTATCTATCTATCTATCTATCTATCTATCTATTATATTGCTCGTTTTCCAATATGTCTGAAAACATCGTTAAAATAGAGAAAGCATTGTTCATTGCAGAGACTATAATATTCTCCATAATTTGATATGCCATACATGTCCATTTCATTAATGTAATTTCTTAAGGTCAATTTTGAGTGACTATATCTCGGGCGACTCCAGTCGTAGAAGAATATAAATGTGCCGAAAGATGCATAGTTTATTTAACTTTTAATCGACAGTCTGCAATCTTCGGGTGAGTACATTTTCAAGTTTCTTTTTGTGGACGCCACTGTATATACATAATAATAGAGAGAGATGATGATGACAACGACAACGACAACGACAACGATGATGATGATGAGGATGATGATGATGATGATATATATATATATATATATATATATATATATATATATATATATATATATATATATATATATATATATATATATATATATATATATATATATATATATATATATATATATATATATAATATGCTATGGCGTACAAAAGAAATCTGAAACGTGTATTCACCAAATCATCGCATTAAATTAAATACTTGTACTACTCACTCATGCAGCGTGCCAATATAAACCCTTTCTCTGACATGAAACCTAAAGTAAAAGAACACATCACATCTTCCTGGTCCCGACTTTGGAACCAACAAATGCACAACAAACTCCATTACATTCAACCGAAACTTGCGCTCAGGAAACCCCTGTCTCTCCTACGAAGACTAGAGAAAATGTTATTTACACAAGATTAAAAAAAGGACACACGCTCGTCACGCACAACCTTTGTACTCGAAGGAGAGGAAGCTCCTTTTTGCGTGGCGTGCTGCACATACTTTACAGTTCGGCACATCCTAACGGACTTTAATGATATACGTACAAAATATTTTTAATGTAAAAGTAAAAATGTCAAAACTCTTTTTGACATTGTAAACCCGAGAAAAATTTTAAGTTATAATGTTAAAAAAATAGGACTGTTTAATAGGATATAAAAATATATAGTTATCGTTGTCAGTGTATACACATACACTGAAATTAATATTGTAAATGCAAATGTAAATACGTCTTTACCATATTTACAAAAATATTCATAAATGTCTGTCGTCCTTTTAGCATGATGTTTTTAATATGACCGTGTGCAGTTGCGAACGCCGAAAACTCTTACTAAAACATGACATGATCCTAGATTTGTTGCGGTGAAACCTATTGGCACTTAAATGACCAAAATTGAGTCGATAGTGCCGTAAAACACCTACTCTGTCAATCAATAAAAAAAACAACAACCCAATATAAAGCTAGATAAATTCTGCATCTTCGGGCACATTAAAATTAAGGTTGCCCGAGATATAGTAACTCAAAATTAATCTTAAGAAATCAGATTTGGCAAGACTGTGCGGAATCAAAGAAACTAAAAAGTGTATTCGCGTCTGTTTTGAGAAGCATCAACATTTTTGCAAGGAACATGTCTTGAATATTAGATAAATGGAGAATTTTATTATCTCTGATATTTAAAAAAATGATATTTTGAAACACATTGGAAAACAGAGAAATTGCAGAAACCACGCAAAACCTGGACTAATGTGCTCATTAGTATTTTATCGGGAGCCATTGGTTTCATGTAGAGCACGAACCCTTTTGCGCATGGACTGTGTCAGAGTTTGGACATAATCATCTCTCAGTGAGGAACAAAGGCTACAAGGCTGCCCTGGTAAAGGGTACAAACAAAACCCCACTTGTGAGAATCAACGGATGATTCGTTTAGAGGACTTAATCGCAAGTTCTGGAACGTCAGATCTTATCCATATTTTCGTAATGGTGTCATTTAAGATGGCATCTTTATGTATGACAAAGCGCCTTATCACAGGGCAAACGCCCCTAAACAATTTTTAGAAAAACCAAATCATACCAATAAATAGCCCCGCTATGAACCCTACAGATAATACATTGAGCCCCGGGAAACAAAAGCTGAAGAAGCACAATTTCGCTCCCAATTCAAACACTTTTTTTGCAACTCTATGTAACATTTGGGATAAACTGACAGACAATTAAGCCCAAAATTTAACACAGTGCCTGTCCAACGGGTTCGTGCTGTACACCCCCCCCCCCCAAATAAAACAAAAACAAAACAGCAACCCCAACCCCCCCCAACCCCCCCCCCCAAAAAAAAAACAACAACCCCAAAACAACAAAACTAATGGTTCCTAAACAAAATATTAATAAGCACATATTTAGATGTTAAGTCCAGGTTTTGCGTGGTTTTTGAGACTGCTCTTATGACCAGTTTGTTTCAAACCATCGTAATAAGGTATTATTTATTGACAAAACAAACAAACCCCCCAAAACGGCCTCACCTTCGTTGTGCACACAACCATCACGAAGGAACAAGGACATCATCAGAAAACTCCGCTCTGGCTGGTCACGTGGTGTTTGATGGCCAGCTGCTCGGACAACTACCCGGCAGAGGCGTCCAGTTAGGGAGTAAAAACCCAACGTGTCATCCTTACCCCACACTGACCGCTCTGTGTTGTTATATTCCTTTTGCCGTAACCAGGGGGTTGACATGAGAGCCGCTTCCGTCATGGAAGAACTAACCACAGTGTCATAATCTCCCGTATACACCAGAACCTTATAATTATTATCTAACAGTTCAGAGAGCTGACCTTTGGTGCTCTTGAAAAACTCGTCTCCAAATTTCTGGTACAAATCTGTGCCTGCTATAACGAAACGCTGGTTATGTCTAACATGCACCGCTTTCATCACAGGATCTGATATCATCACATAGTAGACGCATTCGTAACCCGCAGGATTCTGAAGCATGTAATTGTCCTTAAACGTGACCCCTGGAACCTCAAAGAAGCGAGAGAAAATATCACTCGTAATTAACCCTGTTGGTCTGTCTCCTATTGACTCGATGAAATTTTGAACAGCTGTCTTAGATTTTATGTGAGATGCATACGATACTGCTCCCACGGAGTAAAAATAGCTCAAACTTTCGGGGCTCTGAGTTGGGGGATCGAAAAATGGACCTCCTAGATACACCCCAGTGAGCGGGATGTTAGTTTCCTTGTTTTTCCTCTTTTGATGTATGAACTGCGCTATTGACGGGACGTATTTCCCGGCATAAGACTGTCCTCCTATATAGAAATCACGCGTTTTATACTCAGAGAACATTACGAAAAACTGTTCGAGGAAATTGAAAAGTTCTCTAGTAATGTCTTCTTGCTTATATCTCTCTCCTGCCGGACCACTATCGGAGAAGCTGTAGCCCGTCCCGACGGGGTTGTCGATGTAAAGCACAGAGGCAAACTCAGTCCATGAGAACTTATTCTCTTCTACATCACTGGAAGTAGCAGACACACAGCGTAAAGGCCCATGTTCCCAAAACAGACCTAGCATCGACGACACGCTTGGGCCTCCGTTGAGCCATAGAAGGAGTGGTGTATCTACTGTGTTGTGTCGGGCAGGGAAGAACCAAAAGAACATGTGATTTCCTAATGTTTTATTCACAGTCAGAAAGCCTGCGTAGCTGGGAGGTAGCGT